AGCTTGGTATCTGCCCGTGGAATATCCAGGCGATTCTCGGTTCGGTTCATTCGAATGAAGCCAGCTTCCGACGTCAGACTGACCGCGTTCATTCTCTGCTTCGTCGCTTCCAGGTCCTTGGGATTCAGTGGTCGCACGGATGGGAAGGGAGACGTGCCGCACATTCAACGTGGGATTCGATCGCACCGTGCGTTTGGAGAGTTGTGTGACACGCCGTCAGCTGGCGGCGACTTTCTTATTGTCTCTAACCAGTTTCCTGCCGAAGGGGATGTTGTCGATCTTGAGCTCGTCATCCCCGGCCGCATCTGCGCGTTGCACCTGAGAGGCTCGAGCTGCTCGCTGTCGATCATGAATGCGCATGCGGACCCAGAGTGGAGCGTCCACGAGCTGCGCGGCATCTTCGCGAAGATGAAACGCACGTTGGGAGATCCGCAGGAAGCCAACCAGATCGGGCGTGGGGGCGTCAACTTCTTAGAGATCGGTGTGTCTCGGGTGAAAGCGTCGTCTGGCCTAGATGGGCCTACCGCCAGCCGCCTCGACTCCCTCTTCTCCTCCACCTTCCCCTCCCTGGGTGAAATCCTGCAGGGCGGTGGCGCGCGCCGGTTGCGTCGGGGCTCGCAGTGGTCTTGCGGCCGACTGGATCGTATTTATCGCAGTCTCCCCACTCAGGCCCTATTAGACGCTTTCCCCAGGACTGGCGTCGCGCGGCCCGCCTCCGACCTGCAGAAGCCCTCCGATCACGCCCCCGTCTTCCTCACCCTTTGTCCGCTGTCTCCCTCTGGGCCGGCCCCGATTGCAAGCTGGGTTGCGCAGCGCGAGGTTTTTGCGTCCGCGGTTGCCGACCTGCATGTCTTAGACGAGTTAGGTGGCGCACTCGACGACCCGTTGTGCGCCGTGAAAGGCATGGTCCATTATGCGGCCCGCCAAGTCCGCGAATGCACGTGTAATCGTGGTGCCGAAAGTTTGGGAGAGAAGATAGCATGTCGCATTCGACATATGCGTGCTGTGCGATCGGGGGGGTTCCATGAGGCTCGGAAGGCTGTTCGTGGTTGTAGTTCCTTGGGGGTTTCGCGGCTCTTTTTGACTCTGAGTAATGCGCGTGGACGGATCGACGGCTCTCGATCTGCAGCCTGCTGCTCGCATGCGTGAGCTTTTCGAACGGCGTGAAGCTGCGCTCCAGAGAGAGGTTGTAGTGTCTGCCGCAGATGCTGCTGCCCAGAAGTGCGATGCCGCTATCCAGCGAGTGCGGCAAATGTCCTGAGCTTGGAGAGCCGCTGGTCGTCGAATCACCACGATGCAGGTCGCCAGTCCTGGTGGCCAGCACCTCGACGACGGTAATGAATGCGCCGAACTACTTGCCGAACCTTGGGGGGAAGTGCTCATGTATGCCACTGCTCCTCTTCCAGGCATTAACGCTGCGTGTCAGGATATTGACCCCGTCCCCACCAACCCCGAGTAGCATGTTGCTCAAGATGATTCTCGGCATCCCTGGATCGTTCCCGAAGCGAAAAATTCCAGGGCACCTTGGGGTGGAACGAGGACGCGTCTCCAGGGCCCGATGGGGTCCCATGCGCCGCGTGGAAAGTTGCCGGCGACATTGGCCATGGCATTCTACCCCGTCTGTGCGAGCGCCTGATGAGCACAGGCCAGTTGCCAGATGACTTTGACGCGTCTCGTTGCGCCTTTTTGCCGAACGAGTGCCCTGGCCGAGCCGGCCCCCAGGCCCGCGCGCCCGCCTGCGCGAGACCGCTGGCGTTGAGCAACACCGACACCAAGGTTGTCACCAGTTGCGTTGGCTTCGCTTTCAACAAGGCAGTCGAGGACACTGCGGAGAAGTGCCACAAGGGTGTCCTTAAAGGCCGTCAATTGATAGACAACCTGCTCTCGATCGATGCGGCGATGTTGCGAATGGCGATGACGGGTATCAGTCCGAAGTTTGGCACAGCCCTCTTCGACATTTAAGCGGCCTTCCCCAGTGCCCTCCACGACTTTACCTGGGTAGCGCTCCAGCGTTTAAGCCTTCCTCGACACGTTCGACGCGCCATCCGCCCCTTCTACTCCATTAGGAGAATGAATGTTACAATCCATGGGTGTGCGCCCATCTGTGTACTAACGGAACGAAGCGTCAAGCAAGGGTGCCCGATGTCGGTCCTTATTTCTTGTATCCTCAGCGGCCCATTCCTGGAACGCATCAGGCTGAGGTGTTCGGGGACCCCGATCGTCTTGGAGACTTTCGGGGATGACATCGGTGCCGCGTGCCAGGACTTCCTCGCCGCCTTTTCCACGTATCCTCAGCGTTATTGCGTGCGCTTGGCGCATTGCTGGTGCGTGTCTGTCGTTCGCGAGTTTCTGGGGTTGGGGGTCGACGTTCCCGAGTTTGCGGCCCTGGCCACCAGTGAGAATCTTTGGATGTACATTGGCATCGGGGGCTCACATGCGTCTTGGAGGCAGGCGATGAACGCGTTCTGGAAAAACGAGCCCTCCAGGTCAAGCAGCTTGGAGGGGGCTTGTCATGCGGCACCGTCGCTCATAACATGTTTGGCCTTCCTGCCATCAGTCACGATGCGCAGATGTGGGAACCGCCGAAGTGGGTTGCTCTTGCGGAACGAATTCTCTCCAGAGGTTGACCATCTCCCCGCGATTCAGCTTCCTTCCAGAGAGTCTCTCTTCCAGTTGAAGGAGCTGGGGCACTATGTGCAGGCTCGTCGTCTCCATATCGTCGCCCGTGCCCCGCTGCTCCGAACCGCTGTCAATCGCATTCGGTGTCATGTCCTGGGGCAAGATCTGGCCAGCTTCGCAGAGAGTGACGAAGCTTGCATTGCGCAGCGGCGGAGCCCGCGCGCTGGAACCTGCATGGCGAGTTTTTCAGGGCGCACCGCCCGATCACCTGCCAGCGGAAACAAGTGCAGGCCACCATCGCAAAGATGCTTAACCAGGACCTTAGAATGACCCTCGCCCCCACCCCTGAGCTTTTGGCCCCGCGGCTCCAATATTTGTTGCCCTCTGCGCCCCCTGGGGATATTGCTCTGAGTTTGGTCAGGATTAATGTTGCCTCCAAATATGTTCCCAGCTATGCGATGCCCGCGTGCCTCGATAGCTTATTTAGCAGTTGAAATATTACCCGCCAGCGTCGTCAGGGAGCCCAAGTGCGTGGTTTGCCTTGCGGTGCGAATGGGGGTGGTGACCTTGGGCGCTATGCAGTTTGTCCCGTCCTGCGAGAAGCGGCCAAACAAAGTTCTGCCCTGGCTTCCTGGAGACGATGGAGAGACGGACTTGGCCACCTTCCTCACCTCTTCTCCTCGGAATCTCGTGAATGCTTGCCGTCCCAGTTCCTAGCCGCTGATTTGATGCATGACACGTTTCAGGTATGCCGCGCCAGTACTCGTAAATGCTTTACCCCGAGCGCGCCCTTAGCCTCTTCAGAGCCAGGCTGAGGGTTGGAGCTAAGAGGAGCTCGAATGTCCAGAAGCTGTCTCGGGGTCTCGGTCTTGCGTAGGTCCCCGGTCCCCCCCTTCCAAATGTTTCCCCGGCTGTCCTCTATTGTAGTTTTTGTTGTCCCTGAGCACGGTTGAGTCCGCGCCGCTCTTCAGTTAACCCGCCGCCTGTCCGACAGTGCAGGTTTGTTCGCCCAGGTCGCCCGGGGGCCGCCGGCGATTGCCTCGTCAGCTTCACTTCGAAGCGCCTGCAGCTGCAGGCGCGCCAGGGAAGGACCTGGGACATTCCCCCGCCGCCGCCGCTGCCGTCGCCTGACTCTTTGTCCCCGTCCCGTCCCTCTCCTGTCCGCCTGCCTTCTGTTCGTCCTTTTCTGGCGGGTGCAACCCCTCCTCCCCCCCCCCCCCCTTTCCCAGTCCTCCTGTCCGCGCGTCACCCCTCTCGCACTGGCGCGCCCCTCGCATGTTCTGTGGCCCCATAAGGAGCTCCACCGAAGGCCCAGATGCCAGCGATGGCACGCTGGCATGCGCCCCGCGCGCCCAGTGCGGCGCACCTTGGCACGCTTCGTGGCCCCATGGGGAGCTCCACCGCAGGCCAAATTCCAGAGCTCGCATGCGCCCACCGCGCACATTTTGGCACAGCTCTCACACGTTTCGTGGCCCCATAGGGAGCTCATTCGAAGGCCCAAATGCCAGCGCTCGCGTGCGCCCGCCGCGCGACAGCACACCCCTCGCGCGTTTCGTGGCCCCATAAGGAACCCCGCCGAAGGCCCAACTGCCAGAGCTCGCGTGCGCCCGCCGCGCCCATTTGGGCGTATCCTTCACGCGCTTCGCGGCCTCGTAGGGAACTTCACCTGCCAGCGAATGCGCGCGCCCACCTTTCTCACGTGAGCGCGCCATTCGCACGCTTCGTTGCCCCATGGGGCGTTCCGCTGAAGACTCGCATGCCAGCGCTCGCGTGTGCCCGCCGCACCCATTTTCGCACACCCCTCGCACGCTGCTGGGCCCCATCGGAAAACCCGCCGAAGGACCGCATGCCAGCGCTCGCCTGCGCCCAACGCGCCCATTTCTGCTCAGCGCTCACAAGCATCATGGCCCCATGGGGGTTTCCATTGAAAGCCCACATGCCAGAGCTCGCACGCGCCCGCCGCGCCCATTTTGGCATGCCCCTCGCATATTCGTGGCCCCATGGGGGGGCCCACCGATGGCCCAGATGCCAGCGCTCGCATGCACCCACCGCGCCAATTGTGGCACACCTTTGCACTCTTTGTGTCCCCCATAGGAAGTCCACCAGAAAACCCAAATGCCAGCGCCCGCACGCGGCCACCATCGCCAGTTTTGGCACACGTTTCACGCGCTTCGTGACCCCATCAGGAGCTCCACCGAACGCGGCGCACACAACGACTGTGCCCACGACTGCACAGGGTGTGGTCCGCCGCCAGGTTGTTTTGTTATTTGTTTGTTTCTTTGATATCTCTATCTCTCTCTCTCTCTTTCTCTTGTTTTCCGTTCGTGATGCGCTGTCGCCTTGCCGCCGCTGCCGCGGCGCCGCGGCGGCGCTCCGCCGAGGCGCTGGGGTGTGTGCGTCTCCAGCGCGCCGCTGCGACGGCTCGGCCCGCGGACGCACCTGGCGCCGCCGCCGTGGGGAATCGGTGCGCTCCGTGGATGGGGAGTTCCCTTTTCTTCTCGGCGGCGCGCCCGGGGGGGAGAGTCAGAAGGGGGCAGGTCTTCTCAGAAGGCGGCGGGCCTTCCCAGAAACCCTCCAGCCTTCTGAACAGACGCGTCTGTGTCCCGAGCGGGCCTGGAAAATTTCCCAGGAGGCCAGAGGCCTTCCAACCCTTGTAGGAAAACCCGCCCCCTTCAATTTCCTTCGGGGTTCTTCGCCGGTGTTCGGCCTTCCCTCGGCCGGAGTCCGTAAACTTTTGTTATATATACGTGTGTAATTATATATATATGTATATATGTATATACGTATATATATATGTATATACATACATCCATACGTATATACATATGGATATTTATATATATTTATACCTATATATGTATATATACATATATATATATATATATATATATAATATATATATATATATATATATATCGGAGGTGAGGGGGTGAGATCGAAGTGGAACGGAGAGCCCCCCTACCGGGAAATCGATTTCGGTTTCGTGTTCGTGCATGCCGTGCGTGCGGGCGAGGCGAAGCTGCGTGGGCGGGCGAAAAGAAAGTCTCCTGTGGCTGAGGCGCGGCCGGACCAAATGTCTCCCTTCCGGGCGGCCGGTGGCCCGCGGTGTCCCGCTGGTGTCCCGTGTGGTTGAGGCGCGGCCGGACCAAATGTCGCCCCTCCGGGCGGCCGGTGGCCCGCGGTGTCCCGCCGGTGTCCCGCGGAGTCCCGCGGTGTCCCGCGGTGCCCCGCGGGGTCCCGCCGGTGTCCCGCGGTGTCCCGCAATGATGATGATGATGATGATGATGATGATGACGATGATGATGATGATGATGATGATGATGATGATGATGTTGATGTTGATGTTGATGTTGATGTTGATGTTGATGTTGATGTTGATGATGAGATGATGATGATGATGATGATGATGATGATGATGATGATGATGATGATGATGATGATGATGATGATGATGATGATGATGATGATGATGATGATGATGATGATGATGATGATGATGATGATGATGATGATGATGATGATCGAGTGAGATCGAGTGTGAGATAGATTGAGTGAGATCGAGTGAGATCGATTGTGAGATCGATCGAGGGAGATCGATCCGAAGGGTGGTCGTATAGGTGTATATATAATATATATATATATATATATATATATATATATATATACACCAGGCTACAGGGATCGGCACATTCGGCCAGCAGCCTCGACTCCCTGGGCGCGCCGGGCCCCCAGGCGCTCTCTGCAGAGGCCACTGGCCAGCTCCCTCGACTCCCCATGGGCTCGCCGAGCCTCCCGGAGAGTTCCTGGAGGCCTCCAAAACGCCGTCGGGGACGGCGGTCGGGCCCCAAAAATGGCCAAGAAAGCCTCGAGAGGCCCCGGATACGTCCAAGATGGCCCCATGACAGCCAAAGAACCCCCCAAGACGCCCCAACAGGTTCCCAAAAAAACTTCAGAACAGGTTTCCGAGAGGCCAAAATCGTTGAGCTTCCATGGTGTATATATATATATATATACATATACATATCGCAGTAAGCCGGGGGAGCGCCACAGGGGCGGTGCAGGCGGCGGCGCCAGGGTGTTGAGACAGCCCCAGACTAATAGGGGGGCGTGTCGAGGCCAGTTGGGACTACTTGGGGGGCCCGATGGGGCCAGCTGGTGCTTCCTTGGGGAGGGAGACTGACAAGTTTCGGAGCATGAGCGCTGTGGCGGGCGTGGCGGGCCGGCAGCGTGTGAGGGGAAACAGCATACAGACACAAAGAACTGTCCACGCCAAGGAAAGATGCAAAGTGGAGGGGAAGACGAATATCCAAAGCATATTTCAATGTTCGGACTCCTGGGATCTGCGTCTATTGTTTTTATTGTGTGTGTACGAATCCCTGGCCCCCTCAGTAAAAGCGTCCATGCTGCAATATGTCTGTGTTATCTGTTCTGTTTAGACGTGCGACTCCCAAGGGAGCGCGCAGTACGACTACGCCGCTCTGGTTCGGAGCCGTCTGGAGTCTGGAGGGCCTGTGGTGGCCCAGCACTGGTTCTGGCCAGCAGGAAGGGCGGGCAGGTTAGAGGTTCTGCGTCAGTGAGCCCCAGGGGCCGTTCTCCTGCCCCGGGACCGTGACAGACGGATCCCGGGTGAGCGGATTTTGCTTTATCCCCCCTCCTGAACGATGCCGGCCGCCTCCAAGGCCCTACCCCCTCGTCGCCATGCCTGGGCGCGGCTCGGAATACTGGTCAGACTGGTACCCAGAAAGGTCCGTGGTGCCGTTCTGAGCGGAGGGAGGGGACAGCGAGGGTGCGCAGGGGACGGTGTGTGGAGGGGAGGTGTGTGGAGGTGGGCGACGTGTGTCAGAACTTGCACAGCAGCTGCTGCACTCGTCGGAGCCAGCGTTTTGAGCAACGATGCCGGGGTGCCGTAAATCCACACAACGACGTAACCCAGGTAGGAAATGGCCTGGCAGCGTTCAGGACGGATCCTAGCAGCCAGTAGTACGAGAGAAGTGGCGTAAGACACTTCGTGAGTCGTGCCCATGGATGGGCAGGGTGAAACGTTGATCCAGGAGTCAGGACCGCATGACAACTTGCGGAACTGCTCAGGGCGCGACGGGAACCGCTCATGTGTTAGAACCACACACACGGTCCCGATCATGTGATCGTGGCGAACAGTATTTCCGAGAACAAGGAGGAAGAGGCACGAACTTTTGCAGACCTCTGAATTTTGAGAAACTGTCTGAAGGAATGGGTGCGATGAGTGAAGCTCAATACCCTCGCGATGGTGAGTGGTTGTCTTCTTCTGATATCGCGAATTCGTGCACAGTGTTTCCACGGACTTAAGACAACTAAGAGATGGAGTCTGACTATGAGTTGGAAGGTACACGAGTAGCAGGAGCACGACGAGGAGCAGGATGAGATGGATGAGCAGGATCAGATGCAGAAGCAGAAGCACTGGCAGCAGCAGGAGCATCAGCGTCATTGGCACCAGCCCGAGTCCAGCGCCATCACCAGCACACGCATCAAGCACCATCGCCATAACCAGCACCAGCCCCAGCAGCAGCACTACATACACCAGCATCACGCTCAGCGTGTGTGGCTGTGTGTGTGTGTGGCCCCGCACACGCTGCGCGTGATGCTGCTCTCAAATTTGGTTTACATTCATGGGTTGACGCTCTCTTGGTTACAATATGGCAATGGTCGGGACACAGTGCAATAATGGCAGTACACAGATGGTGTACAAGGACGGTCGAGTTGCGTGATGCGGAGTGATGCGCCGTGTGAGCAGTGGTGGGGAGAAGGGCAAATATGTTTTGGACGACGCTTTGATTTCGATGGGCATGTGATACGCGATGCTATCTGGAACCAGCTCACATCGCCATATGTGAAAGAGCGTGTTCTACCGCTGCTGGCGGAAAACCGGGGGGGGTCACTACCTGTTCGAACCCCTCCCCCCCCCCCCCCCCCACTCTCCGAAAAGGGGGGGGGGTCACTACCGGTTCGAACCCCCCCCCCCTCGAAAACCGAGTGGGGGTGCGGACAGTGGTGGGGACGGTGTTGGTGGGGACAGTGGTGAGGGGACAGCGGGACAGTGGTGGGGACAGTGGGGGGACAATGGGACAGTGGTGGGGACGGTAGTGGTGGGGACAGTGGTGGGGACAATGGTGGGAACAGGGGGGACAGTGGACAGTGGTGGGAACGGTGGTGGTGGGGACAGTGGTGTGGGGACAGTGGGAATGAGGTGGAAACACTGGGACAGTGGAGGGTACAATGGTGGTGGAGACACTGGTAAAGGCGGTGGCGAGGACGGCGGTGGGACAATGGGACAGAGGTACAGTGGGGACAGTGGTGGGGACAGTGGGGACAGTGGTGGAAACAGTGGGACAGCTCAGTGGGACAGCGGAGGAGTCAGTGGGACAGTGGGGACAATGGGGATAGGCAGTGGTTGGGTCCGTGGAGACAGTGGGGAGAGTGGAACCGTGGTGGGAACAGTTGTGGGAACAGTGGGGACAGTGCGACAGTGGTGGGGGCATTGGTGGGGACAATAGGGACGGTGGTGGAACCAGTGGGGACAGTGGTGGTGAGGACAGTGGTGCTGGGAACAACAGTGGGGGATGTGATGCGAGCGGTGGTAGGGACCGGGAGTCGTTTGCTGGCGGTGCGTGGGGGGGGGTCGAACCGGTAGTGATCCCCCTCCGGTTTTCGAGGGGGGGGGGGGGGGGTTCCAACCGGTAGTGACCCCCCCGGTTTTCCGGATCCGGAGGGGGGGGGGGGGGGTGGGGGGGTTCGAACCGGTAGTGACCCCCCCCCGGTTTTCGAGGGGGGGGGGGGGGGGGGGGGGTTTAGGGGAGGGAGGGGGTTTTTGCCGGGAGGGAGGGGGGGGGGGGGGGGAGGGGTTCCGGCAGGGGGGGGATTTTCGGAGGGGGGGGGGGGAGACCCCCGGGTTCCGGAGGAAAAGGTTGGCAATTTTCCACAGTAAAGCGGCGGTGGATCTCGCTCTCTCCCATATGTAAACATGCACTCAAGCAGCTTCACTGAACACACCGTCAGACACACTGCTGTGATTAAGGATGTGGTTAAAGAGTGTGGTTTACCAAGATAGTTTCATACTGTGTTTTAGTAAGGTGTTTTTAGAAGGAGGACGGGGTGGCGGATCAAGAAGGCGGTCGCTCTCCTCCGCGCCACTGCGCGGCTTTCCCCTGCCCCGCAGGGGTGTCGCACCGCGCAAGGGGATCCGCATCCGTATCCGTATCCCTATCAAGCAGCAGCACTCGTATCAACGCATGCGCCAGCACTGGCACCGGCAGCAGCAGCATCATCATTAGAACGCTACCATCGCCAGCGCCAACACCACATCAGTAGCAGGAGCACCTGCAGTATCAGAAACAGCGCTAAAGCGATCACCAGCACCAGCAGGAGCAGCGGCAGGATGAACAGGAGGAGGATGAGGAACATAACGAGGAGGAGGAGGAGGATGAGCAGGATGAGCAGCAGCAGCAGCAGCAGCAGCAGCTCCGAGGAGTCCAGAGCAGGATCAGTTGCAATACCGCCAGTGTCTGATACAGGACCATGATCATTAGCATCATTAGGCAGTCGGTGTAGCAAGATGATCAGGACCAGCAGGATGAGGAGCAGGAGTAGGAGGAGGAGGATGAGGAGGAGGAGGAGAGGAGGAGGAGGAGGAGGAGAGGGAGGAGGAGGAGTAGAAGGAGGAGAACGGGAAACAGCAGTGGCACCAGCACAATCATCAGCAGCCTCACTATCAACAGCTGCGGCGGCAGCAGCGGTAAAAGCATCAGCAGCTGCAGAGACACGAGCATCAGGAAGAGAAGACCAGAAGCAGGAGGAATTCTTCGTTCTGAGCATCCTCATGATGCGTCAATTTCACCGTCGAACTGCACTTCGTGCTTATCCTCCCAGACATCAAGTATGTGATGGGAGCGATACCCCATCGTTTTTGCTATGGATATTCGTACGGGGAGCGGCGATCCTTTACAACGAAACGTGGCCCTGGGAGAAAGCAGCTCTCGCATTCAAGGAGAAGGTGGCATGTCCCTCGTAGCAAAGGTCGCATCCATTGTAAACTCGTGGCATTGGGAGCAAGAGCCTAGTGTATTTGTTGGGTGGTCAGAGAAATGCTCGGAATGGTACGGCACCCGCCGGGGACGGACTCGATATATTGATTGGGATCCTGGTGAGATCTGCAGAGGGGAGGAATACAGTTACTTGAGACGTCTGCCACACGCCTTCTAAAAGAACACTCCAAGGGATTGCTGGTGACTTTCGTTACCCTAATGCCCCAATTGCAGTGGACCGTGAATCCCACGTCAATCGTGCGAGATCGCAAGGTAGACGTGCCTCTCCAGGCTGCGTAGACGTGCGAGATGAGCAGGCTGACAGCGCGAGCAGTGAGACGTTATATAGAGCACAGAGTGTGTGATACTTCCGGTGTGTTAAGGGGAGAGGCGGATGGCACATTGGGACAACACCAGTGCGGGGCTGGTGGAAGACGTTGTTGGGGCATTTTGGGCCCGTTGGAGGGGGCGGGGCATGCCGCCGTGTGGGCAGGATGTCAGAATGCCTTGCCCTGCGCAGCGTGCTAGTTTGCGTTTGCGCGTGATGCTGCTTTCTCACGGGATCAATGTTTTGTATCTACATGTTTCTTTCTTTCTCTCTCTCTCTCTCTCTTTCTCTCTTTCGTTTCGCCTGCCTCCGGGCCCAGTCCAGAATCAGTTCTGTCGCGAGTCAACGCGCGCCCAGGCCCATAACCACTTCTTTACGTGGCTCGTCTTTCTCATCTTTCATCTCACCCCATTCCCTCTCGCCTCCATCGTACTGATGCTAATCAGTCAGCCAGTCAGCATTTCATCTTGGGACCGCGCAATTCATCCTGCCTCTCAATTTGTGTCAGGCTCACGCGGGCACCCACCAGTTGGCGAATCGCCTATGCCCAGCGACGAGGAGCCTTGGGCAGGAGGAGGATGAGAGGGATGAGATGTGCTACTGATGGTAATTGCAGTGGTGGTGGCACTGGGATGCAGGACTGGGGAAGCTGTCATACCCCAAGAGGGGGAGGATGGAGGAGTAACCCGAACAGGAGGGGGAGGGGGAGGAGGGGAGGGGGGAGGAGGGAGACACGAGGAGGGGGGAGCGAGGAGATAAGGCGCAGGAGGAGGAGGAGGAGGAGGAGGAAGAGGGCGAGCAGAAAGGCCAGAGGCCTCTGAGATGTCTCTCGGAGTTTCTTCTGATGTTTCCTGAGAGCTTCTTGTATGCCTCTTGGGGCCTCTTGGGATCCTCGTGGCGGTCCAGGGGCCTCTTGACGCGTCTTGGGTGTCTCTGGGGAGCCTCTTTGGGGCATCTTGTCGGACTCTCGGGGGCCTCTTGGGGACTCCTGGGCACCTCTTGGGGCCGTCTCGGGACACCTTGGGAGCCTCGGGGGCCATCTTGGAGCCATCTTGGAGGAGATCGATCAAAGGAGGGGGGCTCCTTAATCTAGGTCCCTCCCCCAGGAGGCCAAATGTGGCCAACCCCTCAGACAACTCAATGATTTTGGCCTTCTCGCCGAGGCCTCTTGGGGCGTCTTTGCGTGTCTCTGGGGGGCCTCTTGGGGCGTTTTGAGGGTCTCTTGGGAGCCTCTTGGGGAATCTTGAGGGGCTCTTGGGTGCCCTGGGCACCTCTTGGGGCCGTCTTAGCGCTCTCTTGCGAGCCTTGAGGGCCACCTTGGCGCCATCTTGGATGAGGCCGATGAAAGGACGGGCCGTACTCTATTACGGTCCCTCCCTAAGGAGGCCAATTGTAGCCAACACCTAGACGACTCAATAATGTTGGCCTTCTCTCCGAGGCCATCTGGTATGCACTAATCCCTCGCGTCCCCCCCTCCAAACCCAGGAGGAGGGGGTGGGGGGCAGGGAAACCCTCCCGGGGGGGAAGAGGAACATTGGAACAGGACACTCCCTAAAACACTCACGCCTAGAGTGTTGGTGGTATTATGGTGGTGATGGCGGTGATGCTGGCGATGATGTCACTGATGCTAATGATGGTGATGATGGTGGTGGTGGCGATGATGGTGGTGATCATGCTGCTGATGATGATGCTGGTGCTGATGTTGATAATGGTGAGTTTGATGATGATGGTTATGATGATGATGATGATGGTGATGGTGATGATGAAGATGACGATGATGATGATGATGATGATGATGATGATGATGATACTGATGATGATGATGGTGGTGGTGGTGATGATGGTAATGGTGATGGTGATGGTGGTGATGATGATGGTGATGTTGCTGATGGCGTTCGTGGTGCAGGTGCTGATGCTGCTGCTTATGATGGTGCTGATGCTGCTGATTATGCCCATGTTGATGGTGCTGCTTATGGTGATGATGACTGCTGCTGCCGATGATGATGCTGATGATGATGCTACATATGACGATGAGGATGTTGATGACGATGAAGAAGATGCTGGTGCTGATGGTAATGTTGTCGGTGTTGCTGCTGTTTGTGATGATGATGCTGGTGGTGATGACGATGGTGTGTGTGATGCTGATGATGAAGTTGATGTTGTCGCTGATGCTGATGCTGATGCTTGTGACGTTGACGATCATGATTATATCAAGAAAATGAAGTTGATGATGCTGAAGGTGATGCTTATGTTTATGTGCATACATAATAGGGTGATGGTGATGCTGATACTGATGACGTTGATGATGATGCCGATGATGATGCTGACGATGATGATGATGCTGCTGATGATGATGATGTTGATGCTGATGATGATGATGTTGATAATGGTACGGTTGATGGTGGCGATGCGTATGATGATGTTGATGTGGTTGCGGGTGATGATCCTGATGATGATGTTGATGCTGATGATGATGCTGATGCTGATGCTGATGATTCACGCGTCTAAAGGGGTCAGAAGCTCCCACCTCATACCGCCCCTCGGGACAATTCATTTCCCTCTGGCCTTGCGCTGACAATGCTCGGCCTCGTGCCCTAGGCACGCTCGCAGATTCACCTATACAAGTGCCAAGAAGGCGCCGATCGCCTCAGCCGAAGCAAGTGGGCGTCGCGGCATCGTAGCAGTCACGGCGACTCAGCCTGAACGAGGCTGGCACGCAGCTTAAATTTGCAACCTTGCGAGCGGCAGCAGCACGGGTACGCTCGCTCGTCACAGGCATTTTTGATCCTCGGACCCGCCTGGCGCCACGAGCAAAGGCACAGCACAGGACGACGCGAGCCCAAGATGGGCGGGAGGGAGCGAACCCTGGCGTGTGGCGAGCCCCGCTGGGTACAGCCTACGCCACGGGGTTCCTCCCACGTCCGAGGGCACACACGCTCGTCGCAGGCATTCGTGATCCTCGGACCCGCCTGGCGCCACGAGCAGAGGCGGCGGGAAGGGAACCCAGGAGTGTGCGGAGCCCGCCAGGGGCTGCGCCTACACCGCAGGGTCCCCTTCCCGCTTGAACGCGACACCAGCTTGAAAGGCCTGAGGCGCCTCGAGCGGGACCCCGAGGAGCAGGCTTGCCGCTGCGAGGGCCATCCGCGAGGCGACCGCCGCCTCCAGAAGCTCGCCCGCAGTCAGGAAGCCTGTGCCGCTGCCCTCGCCTCCGTGGGGAGCTGCTCGGCCGCCGCCGACGCCGCCGAACCCGTCGCCGTCTGGTCCTGCAGGGACGATGGTGCCACCTGCAACTGCTGAACCAGCGCCGCGGAGGACTCTGAGCCTCCCCCCCGTTGCACAGTGCTGCTTGATGATCGCCTGCAGGTCCAGGTCGTTCCACTCGATCTCGTCAACGTGGACGCCAGGCGCCGCGTCCTCTCCGCCTCGATCCTCCACCACGAGGGGCGAGAGAGAGCCGTCGGATGCGTCGTCGTAGTGCTCGCCCACGGCCGCAGGCACCAGGTCGGCCGCCTCGCCCGTGTTCCGCGCGACGTACACCTGCAGCTGCTCCCTGAGCAAGGCGAGCTGTGCCGTCAGCGCGTGCTCCGCGGCAGCCCAGCCTTCCTGCAGCGAGCGGATGTCCTGAGCCTGCTTCGCGATCAGAGACCTGTACCGGGTGCAGTCCCACGCGGCCTGTTGCAGCTCATCCGTCAGCATGGCCAGGTGGGACGCGCCCTCGTCCTCGGACAGCGCATCGGGGTCTGAGACCGCGTCGGAGACGATGAACTCGCGCACCTCCTCGCCGCCGAAGGGAACGACCCTGAGCGGCCTAGCATCGGCAAGCCGCTGCAGCTGCTCCATGGTCTGCAGCTCCTCCTCGAGCGCCACCTCGAGCTGGAGGGGGTTCTCCGCGAAAGTCCAACCGGCTCCGCCTGACATCTGACACAGCTGCAGCCTATCGGGGAGGGCCAGCATGCCGACTACATGCACCGCGATCGCCTCGGGCAGGGAGGCCAGCAGTGCGCCCTGCTGCTCGGCGGGGGGCAGCGGCGGCTCAACTGAGCCCCGACCCCCTGGCCCGTCTGGCGTCCCTGGCGCCGCTCCCAGACGTGGGCCAGCAGCGCCGCTTCCAGATGACAGCTTCTCCCAGACGTGGGCCGCCCGCGAGGCGCCGGCAAAGCCTCCCTCCGGGACCCGCCTGGCGTGCAGGGCAGCGTTGCGCCGCTGGCGGCTGCTACCGAGGACGCGCCGCCCGTCCACGGCGAGACGCAGCGCTGACCGAGCGGTTGCCTCGCGATCGCACCACGAGCCAGGCTGGACTCGCGACGCGCGGCCACGGAGCGCGTTCAAAGCAGACTGCGATCGCCGCTGCCAAATCGAAGGGCGCTGGGCCTCCCCGACATTGGCGGATCGGGCGGCCCCCCGTAGCCCCGAGCTCCTCCCTCTACTCGCGCCGCCATCCCGTGCGTCCCGAGATCCGCGCGATTGAAAACAGATTCTGGAATGAACTGGCTCGAGCCACATTGGCTTCAGCAAAACCGGCTACGGATGATGATGATGATGATGATGATGATGACGATGATGTTGATGTTGATGATGATGTTGATGATGATGAAGTTGATGATGATGCTGATGGTGATGATGATGATGTTGATGATGATGTTGAACATGATGATGACGATGATGTTGATGCTGGTGCTGTTGATGATGTTGATGCTGATCATGCTGATGATGCAGATGCTGCTGTTGCTGGTGATAATAATGCTAATGCTGCTGCTGATGATGATGGCGATGATGATGATGCTGGTGGTGGTGATGATGGTTGTGATGGTCACGATGGCGATGCTGCTGCTGATGCTGATGCTGACGAGGATGATGAGGATGAGGATGATGATGGGGAGGAGGACGATCATGCGAATTGTGATGATGATGGTGATGCTGATGCTGATGATGATGCTGCTGATTATGATGAGTATGATGATTATGATGATGCTGATGCTGATGATCATGCAGATGATGCCGTTTATGTTGCAGATGGTGATGATTGTGATTGTGGTGTTGATGATGATGTCGATGAGGATTATGATTACGAGGATGTTGATGCTGATGCTGCTGATGATGTTACTGATACTGTTGTTGATGATGCTGATGTTAATGATGATGCTGATGATGCTGATGACTCAAATGTTGGCGCTTTTGATGCTCGTACCGATGTCCATTCTGATCATGCTGTTGGGTATGATGCTGGTTATGATGATGATGATCATGATGATGCTGATGACGACGAGGATACGGTTCATGACGATGGTGATGCTGATGGTGATGATGGTGAAGATGGCAGCTGATGCTGCTGATGGTGATGCTGCTGCTGATGATGCTGGTGCTGATGATCACGATGCTGAGGGCGACGACGATGATGGTGGTGGTGGTTGTGGTAAGGGTGCTGGTGGTGCTGATGATGATGATCGTGATCATTGTGATGCTGATAATGTCAACAGCGACGGCGGCGAAGATGATGTCAGTGCTGAAGACGCTGCTGCTGATGATGCTGATAATGTTGATAATGCTGTCGATGGCAATGGTGATTATGATGCTGATGCTAATGATGATAATGAGGATGGTGAGGAGGATGCATATGGTGGTGGTAGTTTCGGTCATGATGAGGAAGCTGATAATGATGATGAGGTAGATTTGCACGACGATGATGATGATTTCCACCGCAGATACCTTTCGGTAAAGTGTGACGGGTAGGGTTATCCCTTGAGTGACTTCTGAGTTCCACTGGCGGGCTACACTATGCGCATTCTGATCCACAGCTGATGAATACCTGATGAATACACGACTCGTCTATGCTAGGATGGCCGAGGCTATAAGCGGAACTTCGTGAACCGATTGTGGGCAGCCCTTTTGGTGTAGTGACGCCCTGATAGTGCCTCAAGGGCTATATTTGTAATTCGCCGATGTGTTGTAGTGGTGATTCGCTTGTTGGTTATCACGCCACAATCTTGAATGGATGCGTGATAGCACTCGGATGCCGAAGAAGTAGCTGCGGCTATGAGCTGACTAGCGGCGAACCAGTATCGGGTATGCACTAATGGCTCTAGACTACTAGCCCATCGTATAATGATATCGTCTTGAAGCAACCATGCAACATCTGCATATACGAGGTCGCCCCGAACCTGCAATCCGCGTTGCAGCACACGGGGACCGAGGAGTGCGGAGTATATCCTCATGACCGCGGCGCTTGGGGAAATTGGACAAAAAAGGCGAGGGAGTTGGAGGTAGGAAACGGGAGGAGTCGCGGCTGACGGTGGGGAACGGACATCAGTCGCAGCAGTTCTGGCTTTCTTGGTTGCTTTTCGTCCCGTGCCCGCAAACCTGTGTCGCCAAGTCGCTTCTGCCTAGGCAGGATACGGTGTCTGAGCCAGCGTTTCAGCGCCACTCCTCCGCCGCTCCTCCGCCGCGCTCTCCGACAGTGCGGCACGACAGACGACAGTTTGGCCTGTTCGGAAGCGTGCCGTAGAATGGAGGCGGACATACGGGCGTTTAGTAGCAAATCACGGGAGCTTTCTGTGGTCTCGCAATTCCGTTTTTAGAGTTCGGGAGCATGCGGGAGCATGTTATAGTCGATGGTGAAGATCCGATTTTAGCGTCAATTAGCGTCCGTTAGCATCGATTCGCAAGAGCCAGCCAGAGTGGGTGGTAGGCTCCCATGAGTTGCCGCCGAAGCGCCTCTGGGTGGGTGCCGAGAGGCGGCACCTGCGCCCCGGCCCCCACCCCCGGGCCCCCTACTCCTGCCCCCTCCCCTCCACTCGGTGTGATCGGCATGGGCGCACAGGAACGGGGCGTGCTCGCAGGAGGGCGCGGCGCCGTCGCCCCCCCCCACCACCGGCCCCCCGATGTCGCGCCAATTTGCGACACCCTTGAGGGGCGGGGGCGCGAGAGAGCGCCACACGTGGGAGCGACCTCTCGTCGGAGTGATGTCTGGTGCGGGCACATTTTCGGGGGCGACGATAGGGGCGAATCGCCCAGGGGCGGGCACTACACGTATCCCTCCAGGAGCCTCGCTGAAGACATGGCAATGGACCATCGGCGTTTTTTGATAAGTGGATTGTTTCCCCCTGGGCTATTCGCCCCTATCTTCGGCGCGCTCGCGGGCGCCAGAGTCCGCCACGCGTGAGAGCGAGCTTTCGCTAGAGTGACCTTTGGTCGAGAACAGCACAGCTTCAGCCATGCGCAGAGGGGGGTGGGGGGAGGGGGGAGGGCTTCTTAGAAGCACCCCTGCTTCTCAGGAGGCGCGTGCCTTAGCTAGAGATGCGATGCCAGCGCCTTCTAAGAAGCCTTCAACCCTCCCCCTACCCTGTTGTACGCGCCGCCACATATGGGAGTGACCTTTCGCCGAAGCGACCTCTGGTTGAGAGCCGCACAGCCCACTCCCACCCCCACAGGGCTCGTTTCGATTCCTCGTATTCGATTCGATTTCGATGGTTTCGGATTTTGATTCAATCCGACGTCATATTCCGATTCGGAATTCTCGATGGCCTCACTAGTCTGCCGATTTCCGCCGATCCGACTTCTCCCGACTCGGCTGCCGATTTCCGCCGATCCGATTTATTTCGATTGCCGACCCGACTATCGATTCGATTCTGAGCTCTCCTGCCCCCAGCCAGGGCCCCCACTCCCGGCCTGGTGATCCAATGGGCTCCTGGCTGGGGGCAAGGGTGCTTCTCATCCCTCGAAACCTTCCTTCACGAGGCCGGGGGTGGGGTCTCCTGGCTGGGGGTGGGGGTGGGCTGTGCCGTCCTCATCGGCGCGGGCGCTCTCGGGGTCTCCGCGCTCGGGTTCTGGCCCCCCCGCCCACTCCGAAGGTCGCGCACCAACTATCACTCTTGCCCAGGGTCACTCTCGCGTGTGTGGCCGACAGATGTCGTCGGGCGTGCCTCGCGCGCCTCCGCAGGATGCGGCAGGAAGCGACCCTGACGATGAGATGGCCATGCGCAGGGCCGCTCTGGCCGCGGCCGCCAGGAAGAAGACCGCTTCGAAGGAGGAGACCGGGGCTCCCGCTGGCCCTCGGGTGCGGGGGTCGTGGCCAGAATCTTCGACCAGCGTGTTCGCCCCGATTCGGGCCAGGGAACACACGCATCGGCCTGGCTTGAGCAGTGCCGCGGAAGCATTGGCTCGAAGACTTCTGTCGCGAGCTTCCACGAAGGCGCCTGTTGCATCCCTCCTTGCCCTTCCCATCTGCTCTCTCGGCCTTGGGATGCCACAGTGTATGTAGCACGCGCGATCCTCAGCAGTGGCGCGGAGAATCCCCTCACACATCCGTCTCTCTTTGCCTCCGCTCCCCTTAATTCCGACACCTCGTCCCCTTCCTCCTTCCCTCCTACCTCCTCCTCGTTCTTCGCTGCTTTCCCTAGGCGCTGGAGGGCCCTCTAGGGCCCTCTCGAAGCAATCTCCCCGCCACCATATCCGCCCAGCAGGACAAGTTTCGAACTACGAGGCACGGGTGGCAGGTGAGCCTCTGCGGCAGGCCCTGACGTCGGTAGGTCGGCACCGCTGTCGTTTTGGAACGCTTTCTCTGAGGGCAGGTCAGCGGCAGTCGGCACGAACGTTCGCGCAGGTACTGGGACATCCCTCTTCCCCCCTCTTCCTTCTCCCTCCCCCTTCTTCCCCTAGGCACCGCCAAACAGCCCTCAGGGGGGACTGCAGACGGCCGCAGCGACCTTCGCGCCTACCCAGACCGTCGCTACCACACACCCTGGCAGAGGTGGCCGATGCGGGACCACACCCTGTTTGTCTTCAGTCATAGCCTGGCCTTGGGTCCATGTGATTACTTTGGCAAGCGGCCGATCTACTCACAAACTTAATCATAACCATTTTCACCAGTTTTTCCGTACTTCTGTTCTGGGCGCGTTGTGCAACTGCACTCTGGCGCCTCGAGCAGCCAGTGGGTCCAGCGTCGCCCATGGTCGAAGCTTGTCGGGATAGAGTAGGTGGATCGGCGAAAAGGCACCGCCGACACCACCAGGGAAGGGGAGGAGGAGGAGGAGCAGGAGAATCGGGAGGACGGGGAGAGAGACGGGAGTCAAATTACGTTGCTCGAGCGAGTCAGAGGGCCGCGGCCACGCATCCGCCCCCCCATGTCACAGAACCAGCATCGATACAACCGAACAGATGACCATTCGCGAAGCGCCCAGCCACAACGATGAGTGTATCTCGACGGAAAGCGAGCATGATGTAGCAAGCGAGTGCCCGTGTAAGGAAGGGAGGGCGATCACCGTACGCCCAATTCCTGTGGGCGCGTGAATTCCCATGCGTTGTTTTTAATTGCATAACTGACGAATGATTTTGGTTGAGCTGTCATTTTCTGAAGCATATTTACTGTTGATGCCCCCTCCGGTAACCATTTCCTTTTGAAGTAAAGTGCGCTGTCACCTGGCCCCGTGTCTACCCGCTTGATATTTCCCGGAGAGCTCTCTGAGAGCTAAGAGGGTTTTGCACTAAGAGGCAGGAGCCGCAGGGTGGCCCCGGAGTGCATTCGGGCTTCTGGCAGGACACCTCGGCGCACCTTTTGTGACCTTGCAGCGTGTTCTGGCAGGCCTTTTTCTAAGCGTTTCCCAAGATGCGTGCCCTGAATTTTTCTAAAAGGTCTTTCGGAAGCGCTCTCCAGGTCCTCCCAGAGTTCTTCGACAGGCCGCTCCACGCCTTTCTGGCGCACTGCTATCCGGGTTTGGGATTTCAAGTTTATTCCCAAGTGGCGCTCTCGCGCGGGACTTCCGCACAATTTGTGCAGGACTCGCGCTCTCGCGTGGGCCGTCCTCGCAATTTATTCAGACGCCCCGTCTTCGACACTCAGGAATCATGCTCTCGCTGTTGATTTCCTCACAGTTTATTTGGGAAGCGCGCTAACGCTGGAGTCTTTCTCGTGATTCATGCAGGATGCACGCTTCAGCAACCCGCCTGTTCAACTTGGCCGCCTGGGCCCGTCTTCACGATCCGCCCGTCAGGGTCTAATTGCCCGATCTGCCCGTTTGGTTCTGCCACGCAGTTTCTGCCCTTAGCCCCCCTCCTTCTACACTCTCTCGTGGTCCATCCTCCTCCCACCCCGATGTCCCCTCCTTCCATCCGTCCTCTGTTCCCCTGCCTTAAGGGCTGCTCGAAATACACGTCGCAGGTAAGACAGATATTCCCCAAATGCGGGTACGATCGAGGACGAAGCGGGCGGGTATCGAGGGTGTGGGCTATGCGTGTTGAGTGGCACGCGAGCAGATATATGAAGGAACCGCCAGATAATGATTGTGGTTGTTGCTGTTGGTTATGTTGTTATTGTCGTTGTTGTTGCTGTTGTTATTGCTGATGTGTGTTGTTGCTGCACTTGTTATTGTCGTTGTCGTTGTTGTGGTTGGTCTTATTGTTGATGTTGCTGTTGTTGTTGCTGCAGTTGCTGGAGTTGATGCTACTGATTATGTTGTTATTGATGCTGCTGTTGTTACTGCTGCTGTTTGTTGTTGTTGCTGTTGCTGTTGTTGGTGGTGTTGATTATGTTGTTGCTGTTGTTGTCGTTGTTGTGAGTGTTGTTGTTGTTGGTGTTGCTGCTGTTGATGTTGTTGTGGTTGTTGATAGTGTTGTTGGTATTGTTGTTGTTGATGCTGTACTTGTTGTAGTTGAGTCGGCACGACTGAAGAAGACACATGGTTGAAACCCCCGTCCGGGGCACATTGTAAGTATTTTCCAAGTGAAATGCCCTTCGTGGGGCTCGCACCCTGTTGTTGATCAGGGTAAGTCTTCGGTCTCAGAGTTGTGTCTGTGCCCCCCCGGTTTGCAGCAACAGCGGCTCCCGCATGATATCTCCTCAGAAGTGATTTCGAAATCGTGCTCTCGCGCGGGACGTCCCCCCCACTTTTCACAGGGACCGCTCTCTCGCGTGGGATTTCCTCGCAATTCATTCAGACGCCGCGCCCTCGACACTCAAGAATCCCGCTCTCGCTTCGGCCTTTCTCACGATGTGTTTTGGAATCGCGCTGTCGCTCGAGCCCCCCTCGCGATTCATGTAGTACTTCATGCAGCACTCACGCGTCAGCAACACGCCTTCTCGACCTGGCCGCTTGGGCCCGCCTCCCCGACCCGCCCGTTAGGGTCTACCCGCCAGATGTGCCCGTCTGATTTTGCCACGTGTTTTCTGTTGGTTTCTGCTCCTAGTCCCCGTCCTGCTGATCCCGTGCTCCATGCTTCTCCCTTCGCCCTGTCCATCCGTCCTCTCTTCTCCTGTTTCAGGGGCTGCACCGATTACACTCGGCAGGTAAGGAAGACACGCCTTCAGAGTGGCACGATCGAAAACAAAGAACGCGGGTACCGAGGGCTTGGGATATACGTGTTGAGTGGCACGCGAGCAAGTAAGAGCGAACAGTCTTAACATGATTGTTGTTGTGTTTGTTGCTGCTGATGTTGTTGTTAAACTGTCGCTACTGAGGGATCATAGTTTGTGGATCCCCCCTTCTGGAGCAGATTTTATATTTCAATTGAAGTGTCCGTCCCAGGGCTCGCACCCTGTTTTTTTATGTGGGTGTTGGGTCTCAGAATCGGGCCCTTGGCCCCCGAGTTTCAGCAGCAACGGCTTCCCCACAATGTAATACCAAATCGCGGTCTCGCGCGGGACGCCCCGAAAATGCATGCAGACGTCGCTCTCTCGCGTGGGACTTCTTCGCAATGTATTCAGACGCCGCGCCCCCGACACTCAGGAATCTCGCTCTCGCTTTTGCCTTACGCACTATGTACTTGGGAATCGCGCCTTCGCTCAAGACTTACTCGCGATTCATGCAGGACGCACGCTTCAGCAACCCGCCTCATCGAGCTGGCCGCCCTTTGCGCGCCTTCCCGACATGCCTGTCAGGGTCCACCCGCTCGATCCGCCAGTCTGGTGTTGCCACGTGTTTTCTGCTCCCAGCCCCCCTCTTGCTACTCTCTCTCCCGTGCTCCATCATTATCCCTCCCCCTTGTCCCTTTCTTCCATCCGCCCTCTCTTCCCCTGCCGTAGGGGCTGCATGTAATTTACGTTGCAGGTGAGAGAGAGGGTATGATCGAATACGAAGAGGGCGGGTATCGAGGGTTCAGGATATACGTGTTGAGTGGCACGTGCGCGGATAAGAGCGGTGACTCTTAATATGATTGGTGTTGTTGGTGGTGTTGTTGTTGATCCCTCATTTCTAAATAAAAAGTCATTGATCAACTCTGCCCAGTAACCACTGTATGTATCAATCCAAGCGCTTCTCCCGGGGCTCGCACCCTGATGTTGAAAGGGAATGTGAGGTGTCACCAAACTGGGCCCCTGGCCCCCGAGTTACAACCGCAGCGTCTCCCGCTTGAGACGTCCCCACAGTTTATTTCCAAGTGGTGCTCTCGCGTGGGATTTCATCGCAATTTATTCAGACGCCGCGCCATCGACACTCAGGAATCACGCTCTCGGTGTGGATCTCCTTATGGATGATCTGGGAATCGTACTACCGCTCGAGACTTCCTCGCGATTCATGCAGGACGCACGCTTCAGCAACCCGCCTGTTCGACCTGGCCGCCTGTGCCCGCCTTCCTGCTACTCCATCCTCCTTCCCCCCCCGCGTCCCTGCCTTCCATTCGTCTTCTCTTCCCGTGCCGTGGGGGCTGCACGAATACACGTCGCGGGTAAGAAAGATTTGTACCCAAGTTGGTACGATCGAAGACGAAGAGGGAGGGTACCGAGGGTTTGGGATATACTTGATGAGTCTCACGCGAGCGGGTAAGAGCGAACAGTCTTAAGATGATGGTTGTTGTCGTTGTTTGTGTTGGTTTTTGTGTTATTGTTGATGTTGTTGTTGGTGCTGTTGTTGGTGTTGTTGGTGTTGTGGTGGTGTTGCTGAGGATGTTGATATTGTTGTTGCTGTTGTTAAGCCCTTACTGTTCAAGAATGAGTATTGTTAATCACCCCTTTCTGGGGCACATTGTATGTTTCAATTGAAGTGTTCTTCCCTGGGCTCGCACCTTGGTTTTTATCAACGAAGTTTTTGGGTCTCTGAATTGGGCCTTTGGTCCCCGAGTTTCTACAACAACGACTGCCTCCTGATAATCCTCACAATGTATTACCAGATCGCGGTCTCGCGCGAGACGTCCTTACAATGTATGCAGAAGTCGCAGTCTGGCGTGGGACTTCCTCACATTCTATTCAGACGCCGCGCCCTCGACACTCAGGAATCACGCTCTCGCTTTGGCCTTTCTCGCGATTTGCTTGGGAATCGCGCTATTGCCCGAGACTCGCGATTCATGTCGGACGCACGCTTCAGCAGCCCGCCTGATCGACCTGGCCGCCTGTGCCGGCCTTCCCGACCCCCGCCCGTCAGGGTCTACCCGCCCGATCTTCCCGCCTGTCTCTCTCTTGCTCCATCCTCCTCCCTCCCCCTCGTCCCTTCCTTCCATCCGTGCTCTCTTCCCCTGCCGTGGGGGCTGCATGGAATACGCGTTGCAGGTAAGAAGCACACACACACATATATATATATATATAGTCCCAAGGGGGTGCGATCGAAGACGAAGAGGGCGGGTATCAGGGGTTTGTGATGTACGTACGTGTTGAATGGCACGCGCGCGGATCAGAGCGAACGGCCTTACATTGATGGTTGTTGTTGTTGCTGTTATGTGTGTTGGTGTTGTTGTTGCTGTTGATGTTGCTGTTGTTGTCATTGCTGCTGTTGCTGTTGACCTCTCACTTTACACAATAATATGGTTGATAGCATCTTTGACCTTTACATGTTCAATTCGAGTGTTCGGCGGAGTTTGTGAGTCTGTGGTCAACAAATTGCGCCCTGCTTGATATTTCCTCAAAGTTATTTGACATTCGCGCTCTCTCGCGGGCCTCCTTCATAGTTTACCAGGAATCGCGCTCTCGCCTGGTATTCCCTCACAACTGATCCTCACAATGTATGGAATCGCTTCGCTCATTCCGCCGGCCCACTTTGCCCCACTGTTGCTGATGGAGTTTTTTGTTGAGCTCAACGCCCGCACAGCCTACGTGAAAAAAAAACGGCACAGCAGCGGCGGCTGGGAAACCACTGCTGGCAGTGAGGGAGACCTCACCGACCGAAAGAGTACCTCCAGCAACTCCACGGGCTAGGAGGCACTGGCCACACGACGGGCGACCGCCCCGTGGCCAGAGCAAGAGAAAAACAGTCCAGCGCCTCAGCAGGGCATGCGGTCGGGGAGGGCCATTCCTCCCCCGTGCCTGCCGCGCAACCTGTACAGAAAAGGTTGGCGGGCGGCCCCCTGAGCAACACTCACCGCAGGGGAGACATCATCCCACGGCCGTGCGACAGGGGTCGAGGACACCACTGGGCAGTAAAATGGACGACGATCACCCTGCGCCTCGGATGATCGCCGCCGCCCGCGCGCGCAGCACCCGCCGCCACTCCTCTTCCTCCACGTCGTCCGCGAGACGGCCGTCGGGAAGGGCCGCAGCGGCAGCCCCAGCACGAGCAGCTCCACCAGGAACCGCCGCGGCAAGGCGCACCGCCTCCACGACGGGCGCCGCGCGGCGCGCGGGGAGCTGGTTGGCCCAGTTGTCGTCCTGCACGGGGCGAGGTCGGGGCCACGACGCCCCCGACCTGCGAGCCCGCGGCAGCAGCAGGCGAGGGCGGCGGCCCGCCCGAGGCGGCAGCAGCAGCAGCAGGCTGCTCCGCCGCAGCGGGTGGCGAAGGCCGCACCAGGCCGTCGGCCCAGGCGTCTTCGAACACCGCGTTGTCGTCAGCGGCCTCCACGGCGGCTCGAACAGGCCGAGGGCTTGCTCCAGCAGCAGCAGCAGGACCCGTCACGACTGCGGCGCCCTCGAACGCCGCGCCAGCAGCAGGGAGCGCCTCCGCGGCACGCCGCTCCGCCAGGCGGCGGCGTCTGCGCCTCGGCCGCTCCGCCTTGGCCGCGGAGGCGGCAGGTGGTGCAGCAGGAGGCGCGCGAGCATCAGGGGCAGCAGCAGCGTCACGCGCGGCCGCCGACGTCGGCGCGTCCCCGCACGCAAAAAGCGTGGCGGAGATAGCCGACCGCGCGACGGCGGCGACAGTGCGCCGCGGCGCCCCGGCGGCGACCGCGGCCCGGACGGCGGCCTCGACCAGGGAGGCGCCGAGCTGGGCCGAGGGAACCCCTCTAGGCCCCGACATTCCGCAGCCGCGCCTCGCCGAGGAGGGGGCGCGCGCGGGCGAGGCCATGCATCCGCTTGAGCCAACATGTTGTTGCTGATGGAGGACAGGGGGCTCGGGGGAGGAGGAGGAGGAGGAGGAGGAGGAGGAGGAGGAGAGAACATCTCGACGGCTTCGTGTACATGCTTCTTCGAGAGGCCTCTTTGGTGTCCTCGCGAGGTCTCTCAGGGACGCCTGGGAGGTGTTTGTTGGGCCTCCTGGGGCCTATTGGGAGCCTCTCGGGGGCTTCGTCGGGCCTCTTGGAACCGCTTCGGAGCCTCTTGGTGCCTCTCGGGGCCTCTTGAGAACCTCTGGGGGCCCCTCGGGGGCTGCTAGGAGGCTTCTTGGAGCTTCTTCGGGGACTTTTGGGATCATCTTGATGGTCTCCAGGGGCTTCTTGGGGGCTCCTTGAGGGCCTGTCAGCGCTTCTTGGGGCATCTGAGGGGCCTTCTGAGGGGCCTCTGGGGGTATCTCGGGGCTCTCTGGGGAGCTTCCTGGGCCGTCTTAAGGTGATATGTGTTGCCTCTCTTACCGTCTCGGACGCAAAAGGGAGAAAAGCTAAATCTCACGTTTTCCGAAAGGGAATGAAGCGATGTTTGTTTGTCGAGGCTACCCTGAGAGGCCTCTTGGGGACCTATTTGGCCGTCTCGAGGCCATCTTCGGCCTTTTTGGATCGCTCTTGGACCGTTTTCAGGTCCTTCTGGTAAGTCCTGGCAGTGTATTGCGGCGCCGTGCCCCCAAGATTCACAACTCAAGCTCTCGTTTTGGATGTTCTAACGATTTATTTTGGAATCGCGTTATCGCTCGGAACTTCCTTCATGATGGGTTGACGCTTCAGCGACCCGCCCGCTCGTCCTGGCCGTCTGGGCCTGCACACCCGACCTTTCCGTTAGGGTCCGCCCGTCCGACACGCCAGGTTGGTTCTGCCGTTTCTGCTGGTGTTCCGAAGCCTCCTCCTGCAAGTTTCTCTCGTGCTCCATTCTTCTCCCTCCCCCTTGTCCCTTCACTCCCCCCCTCCCCATGGTTGAAGCGCTGCGCCAATTACATGCGCAGGTCGAGACGATATACCCCCAAGAGGGAGTACGATCGAAGACAAGGAGCCCACCCAGCTCAGATTCCCCAGCCGCCTCCAAATCTGCTTTTGTGTTGGCTGCACCGTGCCGAAGAAGGTCTCAATATGATGGTTGTTGTTGATGCCGATGGCGATGACTATGATGGAGATTTTGATGGTGATGCTAATGATGATTTGAATGCGATTGATGACGAGTGGCGATCAAGCGATTGCTGTGTTTGTTGATTGCTGTGTTGTTGATTGATGTTCGTTTCTGGTGCGGCTGTGTTGATGTAGATGGCATGGTGATGACGATGACGATGCTGGTGGTGATGATGATGATGACACTGACGATGCCAGTGACAATGATGATGCTGATGTTGATGCTGATTATGGTGACGATGCTGGTGCTGCTGATGATGATGTTCATGATGATTGTGATGGTTCTGATGCTCATGATGACCATGATCGTAATCATGGTCATGATGGTGTTGCTGATTCATATGATAACTATGATGATGCCGATGAGCATGCTGCTGCTGAATATGATGTTGCTTTTGCTGATGATGATAATGATGGTGATGCTGCTTGTGATGATGATGATGCTGTTGATGATGATGTTGATACTTATGCTGCTGCTGATGATGATGTTGATGATGTTGCTGATGATTAATATGGTTATGATTATGATGATGGTGATGATGCTGATGATAATGATGAGAATGAGGATGATGATACGGATGAAGATGATGCTGATGATGCTGATGCTGATGCTGATTGTGATGACGATGATTGTGATGATGATGATGAGGATGATGATGACGATCATGATGATGATGATGATGATGATGATGCTGATGATGATGATGATGGTGGTGGTGGTGGTGGTGGTGGTCGTCGTGGTGGTGGTGATGATGATGATGATGATGCTGCTGCTGCTGATGATGGAGAGCGTGGGATGCTCCCAGCGGCGTCCTGCTCGGCGCGGCCGGCGAATCTGCGCGCGCGCCCAGGCGAAGAAAACCCTGGCGAGTCCGAGGCCAGGGGCGGAGGAGCCCAAGTCTGAGGCGGGCCGTCGGCGAGCGCAAGGGAAATCTTGGCGTCCCAGACGGGGTCAGAGTAGATGGGGTCGAAGGATCGCGCCGCATCATCGATGCATCGGCGATTCGCCTCGATGTGGATCCCGATTTTATGAATGCCGACGTCGCCGATGTGACGCCGATGCGTCGGCGATGCGGCGCGATTTCCGACCTCATCTACTCCGACCATTTCTCGGAGGCCTCAAGAGCAAGACGCAGGGTGAGGGTGTGATTGATAGGTGACACGAACCCAACGGATGGCGGGGCCGGAGTGGGGAATGGAGCGGAGGAGGACGACGAGGAGGAGGATGAGGAGGAGGATTATGATGGATTCTGAACATGGCCACTATTTGACCTTCAGGCACGGGGGAGGTCCGAGAGACACGAGCCTTCGGATGCACCTGCCCCCCTCCCCCCCCCAGACCTTACCTCCGAACGCGCGCTACACTACCGCACGCGGGCCGTCTTTACGACGGGCGCGTCCATGTAGACTACACGGACACGGCGAAGAATTCGACGCCTCCGACGCAGTATTGAAGACCATCGGCATGCAAGCCGTGGCCGCACGCCTCGCCGAGAGCCCAGGCCGGCACACGGGAGGCGAACAGCACGTCCATGGAGTCCATTGTGGCGATCAATCAATTGCACGCGGTATTTCGGGCCCCAAGGCCCGCAACCCCCGATATCACGTCGACGACGGGCGCGGCCGCGAGCGCGGGCACGCCAGCGCAGGTGGCGTCGCGTCAGCAACTGAGCAGCGCCGGCGCCCATGGCCCGCGGAGCCGACGGGGTGGCCACGCCTTGCGATCCGAGCGTGAGCCGAACCAGTTGAGGAGGAGGAGGCGGAGGAGGAGGAGGAGGGGGAGGAGGAGCAGGAGGGGGACCAGTGTGGCAGGAGAGGTGGAGGAGGGAGTGGAGGAGCAGGAGGAGCAGGAGGGGGTGGAGGAGCAGGAGGAGCAGGAGGGGAGGAGAAGCATGCCAAAACATTGTTCTCGCGATTCCAACGCCACGGATCAACCAGACTGCTGTGTCTTGACGATCCGGAACCGTCCCAGAACGCCATGTCTGGATATCAACACCGCGAATCAACATAACTGTTGCACCCGCTTTCCAGAACACCATGTCTGGTACGTTGATCATGGGAACCAATGGATCTCTTGCAAATATTTAGAACGAATGTGCGCGGCGCTAAGGCGAGAGCCACATTTTGAAAAGGAACCGCCCTCAATCCGCGAAGCTCTTGCAATTGTTTAAACGAATGTGCAAGGCGCTGATGCGAGAGCCACACTTTGAAAAGGAACCGCCCTAAATCAGCGAAACTGGCAAATGTTCAAAACGAATGTGCGTTGCGCTAAGGCGAGAGCCACATTTTGAAAACGACCCGCCCTAATCCGTGAAACTTTTGCACATTCTGGAAACGAATGTGCGTGGGGCTAAGGCGTGGGCCACATATTGAAAACCACCCGCCGTAAATCCGTACAACTCTAGCAAATGTTTGAAACGAAGGTTTGCGACAAACCACCCGCCCTTCATCCGCGAATCTCTGGAATGTGCGCCGCGCTGAGGCGATAGCCACATTTCGGAAACCACCCGCCTTCAATCCGTGAATCTCTTGCAACACTTTAATCCGAATGTCCGTGGCGCTAAGGCGAGAGCCACATTTTGAAAACGACCCGGCCTCCATGTGTGAAGCTGTTGCCAATTTGTAAGTTTCAGAGTCATAAGTGGTGAGGAAGCCTCATGCCAAACGCCCAGCCTGCCCTAAAAACTTGCCCAGGGGTGCGACAGGGAGAAGTTATTGCGAAGGCCTTACGGCCGGTACCGCCGACCCTGCAGACGGAGACGACGAACAGGAGAAGGACGTTGAGGAACAGGATGCGGAGGACGTCAGGGAGCAGGAGGGGGGAGGAGGAGGAGGAGGAGGAGGGGGGAGGAGGAGGAGGAGGAGGAGGAGGAGGAGGGAGGAGGAGCAGCAGGAGGAGGAAGAAGAGGAAGAAGAAGAATATGACGAATCATCATAATAAGAATAATAAGAATAAGAAGAATACGACTACGAAGAAGCATAAACATAATCATAATAATAATAATAATAATAAAATTAATCATAATACGACTACTAATAATAATGATAATACCAACAATAATAATAAGAGGAAGAAGAAGAAAACAATAAGAAGAATAAGAAAAAGAAGACGAGGTTGAGGAGGAGGAGGAGGAGGAGGAGAGGAGAGTGGTGAAATGAATAGGAGCAGGACGAGGGGAGCAGGGCTTGGGGCCCGGGAGTCCTGGACTTTTTGGGGGGCTGGTTCCTGGTGCTGGGTCCTGGAATGATGTCCTGGGGTGGGTCCTGGAGGTTTCTGGGGACCTCGGAATTCTGGGTCCTGGGAGGCCGGTTCGGTTCTGGAGGGGGACAGAGGAAAGAAGAGGAGAAATGAGGATGGAGGGAGGAGGGGGGATGGAGGAGAGGGCGTGGTAGAATGTCTCGGCTCTTGGCCCGTCTGAAGCTTTGCGTGGGCCCGGGACCCCCAGTGGGGGAATCGTATCTGATGCGGGACCCCCCCCCGGGACCCCCGGGACCCCCCCGGGACCCCCCTCGGGATTCCCCCCCCCCCCCCCCGGCAGGGAAGGGATCAAAGGGAAGGGGCTTCCCTTCGACTCAATGACATCGTTGCTCTTGACGGGGAGGCCCTGGAAAAGCGGAGGGGAAGCGGCGACGGGCCCAGGGAAGAGGGGGAAAGGGGAGGAGGAGAGACGTGCCCAGGGAAATGGGGAGCGCAGGGACAGGAGACGACTGGCCCAGGGAAAGGGTGGGCGCAGGGACAGGAGACGACGGAGACGACGACAAACGATCAACGGGAACGGACAAGCCCCTCAGACACGCCGACACATTGTCGGCGGATTTAAAAGGGAAAGGAATGGAGGAGCATAAGCAGGATGAGGAAAGTAAGGAGAACGATGATGATGCTGATGCTGAGGCTGATGCTGCTGCTGATGATGATGCTGCTGATGATGATGAAGATGATGACGATGACGATGACGATGATGATGATGATGATGATGATGATGATGATGATGATGAGGAGGAGGAGGAGGAGGAGGAGGAGGAGGAGGAGGAGGATGAGGATGAGGATGAGGATGAGGATGAGGATGATGAGGATGATGATGAGGAGGAGGAGGAGGAGGAGGAGGCCTTAGCCATTGTGGCTCAGGACGGAACTTTTCGCCCGTCCCGACTCCAGAGGCCCGAAGCTGAGGCGGAAGGGCAGACATTCTTCAGACCTGGCTGCCTCAGTCAGCTGTGAGTTTCTGCGCGGAGCACGTCTTTCGTTTTCTTGTCTCAGCAAGGAGCCCCGCCGATGAAACACCGCAATGGTGCGGCGGAGCCAGCCGTCCTCCCATGCGAGCAGGATTCTTCGCGCATATGGAACCAGCGCCCCACGCAGCATCGTCGATCGAGCTCGCCAGAATGCTAAAGAGGCACAACAGGAGCGCGTACCGAAGCCTGGACAGAGTCCCCAGCCTGGAGGAATCTGGGCCAAGCAAATCGAGAACACGAGCCAGTTCGTTGCCCGACTCGCAGCCCCCAGACAAGGTTGCTAAAGTCGCAGTCGACCTTGGAGGCGGCCCGCTACCATGGCAGTCGTGGGTGGCGGGGGCGCCCAGGAAACCAGCTCGAGCCATAACGACAAGCTTCGCGAATGTAGGGCGCATGGCCAAAGAGCTGGACCCAGACACAAACAAGGATGATATCGAACGCCTGTGCGACAAGCAGGCAGCAGCGCTGAAGGAGCTACACGGCCCCAGGCCTGCGCTCACCCAGCAATCCGTCACGGGCCACACATTCGAGGAGTTGGAGTCGCAGAAAAAAGTTATCGAGCAGAAGCTGGTGGCGCACAATGAGGCCATCACGGACGCTCAGGAGCTCGAGAAGCGGCTGGTGTCCCAAGCTTAAAAAGCTGAATGCCAAGGAGTGGAGGCCAGGAGGGAGCTGGTCAGGGTTATGCTAGTCGAGGCAAGCCCGGCCCGGGCCGCCGACGCGCTGGACAGGGAACAGCTCGCCAAAGCCCCGGAGGCCAAGGCGATGCTCGAGTCCGCCTCGTGGAACCCGTGCATGGAGATGCTCGAGGCCTCGAGGGCTCAAGCACCTGAAGCGCTTGCGCCCGAGGCTACCAGGGCACTGCGCAGCGTCATGTGCGGCCGCTCGTGGCCGAGGCCATTGTAGCGAAGAGGAAGAGCGACGCCGGGATGTGCCCGCGCTGTGCGCTGGCTCCTGAAGACCACGATCATCGCCTTTGGTGGGCGGTCGACGGATTCCACCGAAAGTCAACAGCATAGCTGTTCATGTTGAAACCTGCCAGAGCAGCAGGAAGGCCTCCAGAGGTCCCCGCGAAGACCCACAAGACATTTCTACAGCGTAAATTTGCATCGCTGATGGTATTCAGGACCTCGCGAACCTGGGGATGTGCTCGTTAGCTCATTCTATCTTTTTTTTTGCGAAGTGAGATTGGGGCAGCTGGACATTTGTGCAGAACGAACAAGTCAAGGGATTGATTGATCGATAGTGGGCGTGAAGCACGCTGTAGCCGAAGTGCGGTTTACAGTTGGAAGTTATACACAACATTAGTGTGACTCACTTTCGTTCACCGGCCATTCGGCCGGGACGCAAGTTATCAAGCAGGGGTCTCCTTCGGGAAGGTAAATGGAAAATTGACGATTAGCAACGAACGTGCCACGACAGTCGGCGCCACGCAAATCTTCCGAGAATGGGTTGCCCCCCCCCAGAAAACGTGCATGGGCCTGCGCATAACGATAGCGGATGGGCCAGAACGCCTAAACGTTGTCTTGCGATTTGAACGCCAGTGAAAAGGGAGTTCTAGCAATTGCGACCTCAGGGGGATTTTCGGCTCTCTGGGGGGTGTCACAGTTTCGGCCCCTGGCGTTTACAACGGGACTCCAACATGAGGAGGATGAGGAGGAGGAGGAGGAGGAGGAGGAGGAGAGGGAGGAGGAGGGGGAGGAGGAAGACGAGGAGGGAGAGTGAGAGGGAGGGGAAAGGAGGAGGAGAAGGAGCATGGATGAATGATGAAGGGAGGAGGAGGAAGAGGAGGAGGAAGAGGAGGAGGAGGAGGATGAGGAAGAGGAGGACGATGAGTAGGAGGACCAGTGTAAGCCCAAGACGCATCAAGGATGTTGCAATCAACCCTCTCTCCAATATTCCTTTCCATGGGCCCCTAGAATAATATATTTTCATCGACGGACCTGCCGCATTTGAAGGCAACCGTTTGGGAACCTCCAATCGCGCCAGAACACCATTCTTGCGACGCAAACGCTGCGGATCAACGTGACATTTGCGTCTTGACGCTCTTAAGTCGTGCCAGAAGTCTTTGAACTTGTTGCAAGTTTTGGCAAATAATGCGCGCAATGCTGAGGCGAGAGCCGCTTGTTGAAAACGGCCCGTCTCCATCCGTGAAATAGTGACAACTTATGTGGACGAGTGTGCGCGGCGCTAAGGCGGGTGCCACATTTTGAACACAGCCCGCCCTCCATCCGTAAATTGCTGCACATTCCAAGCTTCAGAATCACTTCTGGTAATGATGTCTCAGGGTGAATACCCTGTCTGCTCTACCGAGATGTCCGAGGGGGCGAAAGGGAGGAGCTCTTTGGAAGGAGACTGCACGGAGAAGGAGGACGAGTAGGAGAAGAAGGGAAGAGGAGGAGAAGGAGGAGCAGGACTTCATCGTTCTACGCTGGCGCCCAGAGCGCTCCTCCCGATCCCATGGTGGTGTTTCTGCGATCTTCCGCCTGCGGGCTCCTGGTCTGGCGCCTGGCCTCGCCTCGAGGCGACCACGAGCGACGTGACCGCGCGCCCTCGCACGCGCGTGCCGTCGCTCGGAAGGTTGGCGGCCAAGCTGCCGACGCCAGACGGCACGCCTGGGAAGTCACTTTAAGGGTAGCTCTTTGGGATATGTTATAGTATCGGGAGCATAGCTCGCGCGCCGTTGCCTTGGGCTCAAGGCACGCGCGCCCTATTTGCCCGGACACTCACCTAAGTGTTCGCTATGTGCTGGAAAGACCGATACATCGATCTTATCCTGTCATACCCATCCACTCCCCATATCGTATTCCTACGACATGGAATTGGATGCAATGTGAGCTCATCCGCCTCCCATGGAAACGGATGCTATTTGACCTACCAGGCTCACTTTCGACTTGGTAGCGGAGCTGGCCGCACTCTCGTGTGGTCAGCTCTTGCTCTTCTTAGCCTCATACTCTTCGGCACGATTTTCGTGACCACCTACCACCCTGCGCTATCATTCCCAGTACGTTTACGAGGATCTATCCAAGAGCGAGAAACGACACGAGAGGTACGACGTCTAGACAACGACATTGGTACCATATACGCTTCATCGCTGCGCTACCACCAACCGCTCGGCAACGAGCCAAAAGCGCAAAACTTGAAGCATGGGCGGAGAAATCCGCCAGATAGAGCGCCTCGAAGACTCGACAAGGCGCTACCCCAGCGCGGCAACGCGCCTCATAACCACCCCTATCTACACAGCCTTGGGCTGGTTATCTTCGCTATCGTATGGTTCGCGCTGGGGGCAGCAATCGGACACATGCGTCGTGGAGATGACAGCACCGATGGGCAAACACATGGCCCATATTGGGATCCTCAAGGCAACGTACCTTTCCGCGAGTACGTTTATGAGGTCAACGCATGGCTCAACGTCACAAGCGGGCGTATGACGCCACAGGCCCAAGCGGCCGCCATACAACGCGGTCTGGGTGGCCTAGCGAGGACACTCGCCATGAGGGTACCGCCTGACATTATAAATTATGGTGCTGACATCGATGGGGTCCACACCGACCCAGTGACCTACATCATGTTCCTCATAAGCATGAAGTTCGAACGCCTGGAAGATGAACGCCAGCTCACTTCCGGCACACAACCCATCGACGTCCACGTGCCTCACGGAGAAAGAATCGATGTCACCCTTACCCGATTCGAAATGGCCCGACTTGAGGCACAGTCGGTGGGACTTGACCTTCCCAACTTCCAACTACTAACCACGATCCTGTTCCGCGCCTTAGGCGTCGGCAACCAGCGAGCCATGCAACTCTTACAGCCACTCAACCACCAAATGCCCCGAACACAACAACAGTATGATGAGCTGCTGGAGAGGATGCGTTCGATAGGCCACCTATCTGAACGGTCTCCTGGTAATATAGGACCTGTGTTCGGAAGGGGAAGGGGATCTGGTAGTGGAAATTTCTACACTACCTTGACCACTGAAGCCCAGCCTGGGAACGGGCCCTCAAGCATATGGGCTGATGATCCTGGAGAATCCATTGCTCTACTAGCAGGAGATCGATCACAACCGAGCTGGGCAACCAGCCCTCCTTCTAGAGAACCACAACCACACCGTTCTCTATGGGGTGAATCACCCCCCCTAACCGACGGTGTATCCACCTACTTGGGAGACGAGGATTTCGACTCCGGCACCGACACAGATACTACATCATCAGACGGTGTTGAAGCTTTAGATTGGTCAGATATTATGAATATGGATAATGACAATCAGCGTGCTGAACATTTGTTTTGGTTATTACAACAGGCTAAACGGAGGTGGAGGAGGTTCACACGAAAACCAGTGCGTCGTGTTAGGAGGAGGATACGGAGGAGCTTCAAGGGAAAAGGTAAAGGTAAACAAGGTCGTCGGAGGTTGAACGGACGAGGCATCACGGCATTCCTCCAGAGGTTCTCAGATGAACAATATGATGAGATATTCTTCGGGTGAAAGGGCCGTGGCAAGGGCCGTAGAGAGACCTCAGGGAAAGGCAAGGGTAGGCGGGGAAACCCGCGAGGTAGAGACGGCCAGGTTCTTAAGTGCCATGAGTGCGACAGTGCCGACCATCTTGTGCGAGATTGTCCAGCGAAGGGAAGTGGAAAGGGCAGGTCGACCGAAGTCCATTTTGGCTCACGTGAACCTCTCATCGAATATCTGAGCCTCCAGGATTTTGAGGCCATGGAACAGATATTTTACACTTGGGTCAGTTGCATGGACAACGTCGACGAGCTCGAGGCATATGGTCATGGATTGTACGCGTACTACCTCGAGTACGTCCGCCGGTTCGTTATTGGCAACAACGAGCTCACTCCTGTGGTTCACGGTGCGCTGGGAAACTGGCCTCTTCCTTTCTTCCACTGGATGTTCGGGGACCCAGGCAACATCATGGCCTACGAAAGCAGTGACGAGGATATCACTGTGGAGGCCTCGCCTTCCGAGGTTGAACGCAACCTCCAACCTCCACCTGAACTCCCGCCTGGAAACAGGCCTATCTATCCCCAAACTAATGAAGAACTTATAGATATGGAGTCTCAAGCGTTCGTTCAAGCTTTCATTGCAGTGGAACCAGAGATTACATTTGTACCCCCTGGTTCGCTTGCTCCAGGCGAGTACGGACCACGTGCACTGCTGCAAACCCTCATGAGGATGCATGAGTTACTTATCATCGCATATCCCGAGAGTCAAGAGAGCATCGAAGCTGGCATCATCATGCTGCAGGACACCGATGCCTGCGATGACTCGGAGTTAGTGCTGGCAGCTTTGACTCTCATCGACAGCGTGCATCCTGAGGACGTGCAGAGACACGTGATATACTCCCGCGGGAGGTGGCGTGATGCTCTTGAAAGGGCCATCGCCATGCGCGGTCAGGCTCTTCCCCCGCCAGGATGGGGTCTCCAGGCGGTGGGACTATGGCCAAACAGTACGGCCATGCGCAACATTGCCGGGCAGCCTGTGCTCGGCAACGAGCCTGAGTCGACGACCGCGCCGCCTGCCCCGGGACAGCCGAGCGACGCACAGACGCCGGCTATGCAGGGAAACCTGCCTGTCCCGGTTGCGCCAGTGGCCATCATCATTGGCAGTTCTACATCAGAAGAAGAAGAGGGCGATGGTTGCGGGCTATGCGAGGACGAAGCCACAATCCTCATGATGGAAGTCAACGGGGAGGTAGAGGTGGACTTTGATCCCGACGAGCCTGAAGTACCATCACCATCGGCACAAGCGCCATTTGCGCCGAGCTCCAGCCGGCAGGGAAACCTGCCTCATGTGGCCGATCCAC